AATGATTTTTCTCTTTATTGATGAGCCATATAATAAACAACTTAATAACCTCGACCGTTCGGTCGTTCCGGGAAAATCTCAAACCTTGGCCTACTGTATTGACCTTGCTATCGCTCGGTCAATACGGCAAGACATCAGTTTGAGATTTTCCCGTAACGACCTCACTCTCGGTTATTAAGTAGTTAGTATTAGAAATAATTACGTTAGTTTCTATTCTACATGTTAAAAATAAATTTGCATCCAATTTACCTGGTCACCCTTTTTGATGCGTTCAGCTGAGATGGGGTCACAGTCAGCGTAAAATGCATAAATCACACATCCACACAGAGCACAAAGAGAAACAGCAAATATACTGAGAGGCAAGTTGATCCAAACAGCACTGCACAAAGAATGAAAATGAACAGATTAAAATACCACTTACAATCAGTACGCAAAGTTCTTTGCTAAAATAGTGACCTTAAATAAGGTAAGTTATAAAATAACTGAGCTACTACCCGCACTCTCAAGTGCCAGTTGATAGGTGTGTTTCTAAGACAAGAGTAATTATTGTAAACACGGTTGGGACGGTTTAGATTTGTGCATATATTTGCGAATTATTTTATAAAAGCAGTAGAGCATTTTCTCCATGTTCACATAGCCTCATCTAAACACTCAGGGGACTGGGAGAATTCTTGAAAGTTATGCAAACCTGAGACGTAGTCAAGGGTTTGCATAACTGTCTCAAATTCTCCCAACCCTCTTCATGTTAGATGAGGCTATGCAAACAGGGTAAAAGTGCTCTGTTGCTTAATTGTTATATGACAAGGTAGCCTTGATGTAAATCCAAGCATTCTGGTGGGTTCTTTCTCATCAATGTGCAATATGCAATATGAACAACAACCTTCTAACCTAGATTGGTCAAGCAGTACTTGGGAACACTGGCCCTCAGTCATTTGTATACAGACCTTGCTCTGCTCGGTTCACACTACATGTACTGTTTGTCCTATTCTGCTGAGCTTCAGAGTTAATTCATTGTTTTGAAGTTGGTGTTAATTTACATGTATTTAAAAAAATGTGAACATTCACCGTTTTGCCTCCTTGTTTGACTTGGCGGCCAAGAATCTTTGCACTGCAGTTTGATTGACAGCCCAGAGAGGAAACAAACCAAATGCTCCCCCAATGATCAGACTCCATATTGACAGGCGCTGAGTAGGATCTGGGTTAAAACTGAAGAAAGAAAATATTATTAATTAAATAGCTTATGACAGATACAAAACAGCTACACTGTAGCAATTCTCTGACTGTTCTGTAAGTATCATTGATATAAAGTTAACAATTTAGATTGTTGAACAACTTAGAATTCAAGAAACAAATATGGTGTAAGAAATGTTATGTGTTTAAGTGTTCATTCCTCTTTGATCCAGTCAGAACATAGCACTGTTCATCAAGACAAGTACATATCATACATTTTGTCAGCATAGTGGTGCAAAGATTGGTTAACTTATTAAAACTGGACAGCAGGTCAAGAGATCTAAATGTAAGAGTGGTGTGTTTTTGGAAAAGCCGGAATCCAGCTTTGACACACAGGGCCTCTCCCCAGCACAGATTATAACACAATGAGTGGGTAAATTAATGGTGAATTGTTGAGGCATCCTGGAAAATGCCACCCAGAGGTTAAGCCTGGGATAGACACAAGCACCTAATCCAAGAAGGGTAAATGCAGTGCTCAATACTTCTACTGCTTCATACTACAAAGACCAGAGTTGCTGCAGTGTCAACACCAGTACACCATTAGGCCTCTCAGCTTTCTTATTCATTTTCTGAGCTACTAGTTTACACATCATCCATCTTATATATTGCTTAACCCACTTTATATTACTTTTTGTCACTAATAATACATACATTTGATTTTCATTATTTATTTTACATTGCAGTCCCTACAATAAACTCGTACATTACTTAATTATTTAATTTACACTACTGCCTCTCAGCTTTCACTGTCAGGTCATTGCATAAACTTACTCAATAAACTTCAGTCTTTGGCCTTTCTCCAAAAGATCAAAGACTTTTCCAAATCCCCCAACTTTGACTGTGCCGACAATGAGCACTGCAATTAAGCCACCAAGCATAACTATGGCTTGAAACACATCATTCCAAATGACAGCTTTCATGCCTCCCTGGAAAGTAGCCAAATACAACAAAATAATAAATAATTAACAATTCTTATACATAGGTGTAACATATACACTGTACATTCCAAAATAATAGAAAAAAAAAAAAAGAACTATAATAGAATTCAAAGATGTTACAAACAGCAATCACAGATATCACCATTTGCTAGCTGACAGCATGTTTGTACAAGCTGCCCGAGTCTATTAAGATAAGGCTTGGAATAAAAAGGAAGGAATCTGTTTCGACATGTACATGTCATTTTTTTGTGTACTTCATTACTCTCAGGACCTTATTTTCATTAAGAAAATAACTAATGAACACAAAATTAGCTTACAATGGTTGTGTAAAAAGTACAGACGATGCCAATGGATATAATGGAGGCCCACACTGGAAATCCTGTCACTGTGGTAAACAAGAAACCAAAACATGAGAATCAGTTAATATTAACAAGCTGAGATGAGTTTAAATGAATCAATTACAAGCATGCAACAGGATACTGGCCTTAGTATGTTAGGTTGACATGGTAACCAATGCACAAGCTAGGGGGATAAAGTCTGCATACGAGCCAAGTGGCTCATCAGGGCAGAGCTTATCCCAGTTTCAGTGGCATGAAGCAACTAGGAGTATTTCTAATCCCCCCTGGATGGGATGCTAGTCCATTGCAGGGTTACCTCCAGCATTAAATTTACTGGTATCCATTTATACACCTGGGTGGAGAGAGGCACAATGAGAGTAAAGTGTCTTGCCCAAGAACACAACACTGTAATTGTACCCAGCTAGGGCTCGAACCCAGACTGCTCGCTCCGGAGTTGAGCGCACTACTCATGAGGCCACCGTGCCTCCCATGATAAACAAGCTAAGATAGCTAATAATTAGTTAACTTCTATGTACATGGAATTCACCCTTCTGACATCATGGAAAGCAATATAGTTGTATCCGAAACACTTGACAATCAAGATAAATTAACCAAGGCTATTAATTGCTACACAAATTACCTGCTTCCAAAGCTATGGCTGGGCCGTAAACCACAATGGCCATATACAGAGACTGCAAAAGAAGCAATCACAGGGTAACATTTTATAATGAAATTGAATTACATTTGCATATTAAAAATATATATTTCAGTGTCGCACCAATTAAACAGAGAATTCCAAATAAAAGAATGATGCATTTGAAACTCACAGTCTGGATTATAAAACACAAACTTCCAATGTTACGAATTCCAGTGGAAAACCTCTTTTCTAAGTACTAAAACAGAAACGTTATTAGTGTGACTTCTTACAGGCATGACACCTTGCATGTCTTAATGATCTCAACAATAATACCAGCTGGAGCTTTAGTCCCGGGTAGGTCCAACCATGCTGGAACAGCCAAGTGTTAAAGCCTGGTGAAGCCCTGGTCTCCAGGTTCCCAGGTTGGGTATGGGACCAATTTATCCAGCCTGTGAAATCTTTTAATGGGGACTTATGTGTGGAGGGAGACTATGGGTGGGAACACAGGAGTAAAGGGGACAGAAAGCAGGACAAGAGAGGTCAGGAAGGAGAATTTACAAAGTAGTGGAAACTGGAAGAAAATGAGAAAATTAAAGCTACAGTACACTGGTGACTGCACTATTTTTTTTAACAGAAAAGGCATCAAGAGGTAGGAACCACTACAGAGGTTGGAACTGGGGATTTAGGGAAAGAGAAGGGAAAATTTACCCCATTCCTGCCCCCTACTCTATTATATATCATATGTCAGGTTTGTCACACACCTTTGAAGAAGGTAGCTATTGTTAGAGTATACATGGCTTATATTTCCTTTTTGTGTCACAGGAGACAGACAAATAGCACAACAGACAAGCTGGCCAAGATAACCTGGCAGTTGGCCATTTTTGACTACTTTGATACAACATGGCTCAGGGGTTAGGGAGCAATTCCAGTGATGAACATGCATGGTCATGCATGCAATTTGTAAAGAAGTTCAACCACATGAAATCCCAATAATCAAAACACTAATGGTACAAATTGCTTCTTTTAAAGAGATGAATCTCCGCAAACAATATACAGTTGGAAGGCCTCTGAGGTTTATAACCCAACATTGTATTACTCCAGATAAGAATAGGGTTTAAAGGTATACTGAACTTTGCAAATATTATAGACACTGGACAAAACGAAATAAAAATAAAAATAAAAATAAAAAGGTCCACAAGGATGTAAATATATTTCAGATCAAAGGTTGTTTGTAACAAAACCATATTTAGACCTTGTTACTGCTTTGCGTTCCCGCTTTCTCTCATCAAAAGACTTAACTGGACTTTGGTCAATGATTACCACGTGGATTAATAAATTAGCTAGCGAGTAAAAGAAAACTCTAAAAGTACAGAAAACTGCCAACTATTTATTAAACAAATCACGAAATTTTCTAAAAAGTAAAAATTTGACGATTAATTAACTAGTAAAACCAAAACAAAACTGAGTTGAAAAAGGCCATTCATATTACTCGTTTTTTTTTTTAACAAAAATCATGGGTTCATTCATCATATGCATGCGATGTTTTGACTTGACAAGTTACGCACTTACTTCATACGAACTTGAAATGTCCACTGCACGAAACACAGGAACAAATATCAGCGCCACAGATGGGAAAAGAATCACGTAAGAAGCGATAATAAGCCAGTATTGTGTCCCGAAGATGTAAATCTCCGAGGGAACACCGAGAATTGTAATCGCAGACATGAACGATGCCAACAAAGACAGCGCCACAGGTACAGCCATCATACCGCGGTTAGCGAACAAAAATTCTTTCGTTGTTCGCTGTCTTCCCCCAGTAAAGGCATGGTATATTCCAATGAAAGTTGACAGGAGCAACATAACTCCAAAAACAGCAAAATCTACTTTTCCAAACTGTGCTTTTCCCTCCATAGCGCAAGTCGTGACAAGCAACTCAGCAGTAGAACTCGGTGGTCAACGTGCTATTGGTGTCTGGTACGTCATGTAAATGACTCGGAATAGTATTGCGCTGGTAACGGTCTGAGGCGTACTGAATATTTATGCTACTTTTCGCGAAAATTCGAGAACTGTATTTCGAGAGTATTAATTTTCGTCATTCCTGGAAAAAAACTCCACACAAGTGATTTTATTCCAAGCTTTTGCCATAGCTTTTCTCAAATCCTGGTTCGAAGGCCTTGTTTCACTACAAGGAGCCAACAAATGGAAAATTGATGACTGCACAAAAATTGAACAACTATCGACGAGCCCGTGAAGAACATTTAAACCCGTGTACTGTTTTTTTGCATAATCTGCTGAGTTTAATCGTGTTAAATTTTTGCGCTCTTTTTTTCGCAAGTGTAACGTCGTGTTAATTTTCGCGATATTTTTTCCAAAACGCCACAATATAGTACGCCCAAAATATTGTTTACAATAAATTATTTGCACAGGCGATTCAGTTTCTCATCAAGTAATGGATATTGACAGGGCATAGCACGATTAACTGTCCCAAGTAATTGGAACCCGATGTACTGAATACTTTTTGTGCGACGTGGGTTTAAGAACGGATAATTTTACAAAGAGTGCAAGAGCTCATTGACGGTTGTGCCAACCAGAAATTTGGCAGATTTTGAAAGCTAGATTTTTCCGCGAATATTAACACCTAAAGAACATGACCGACAATTTCACTGATTTACTACTGAAGTTTCACAAGCTCTTTTTAATCTTGGAAGTCAGTTTGATTCTGAAGATGACTTCCGCTCAGGTTGTCGAAACGTCATGTCACTAACAACAGGCGATCGCACAAGACAAAGTACTGATACCCCTGGTTTCAGACCAGTAGCTATGATATGAAACGTCAGTGACGAGTTTACTTGAAATAATCTAGGTCCGCACAGAAATTAGTCGTAACTAGACCCATGGTTGTGAGTTGTCTTTTTTTTTCCGCGGTTTTCTTTATTTTGTTTGTTTTGACGGCAAACTGCTTCCCCATAACAGATCGATTACAGATGAATTGGGTCTCGATTTGATCAGTAGTGACTTTCTGTCTGCAAACGAGTCTTCTCAACATGTGAAAACCGATTTCATCTTCTATTTTTAAATACTATGACAGTTAATGACTACCACTAACTTTGCACGTCTGTCATACTTTCATTATATCTGGGTTATTGGCCGAGAAGATGCCGGAATATTAGCCGAGTTCTTAGCGTGATTAATTCATATCCAGCCATCTCGACCGAACAAGCTTGGTCAATAAAGGATTTACTATATGGGATAAAAAACACCCAAAAAGTTATTCGCGTTTGATCGGGACACGAGCGTACGCAATCCCGAGCTGGCAATATGGTGCCGTCTTGTCCGCTTTGGTAGCCAACCACGGCGCAGTATTTGGTTCATCACGGGGCTAGCCATATAATAAGAGTTCACATAGACGTCTTGTCTCCATTCTGCACAATAAGATTGGTTGGTGTCTAAACATCTGGTGGTTAGATGTTAAATAAATGCCAAGTGACGGGGATTTGAGCGCGGCTTATTGGTTGTAATGCTATTACTAGAATTAAAATTGTCGCATGTACGTGCTCCTAACAGTTCGCTCAATACACGTCAGAAGGCGGAAACTTCGACAGATCAGAGAAATGCGGTGCAGGGCCTTTTGCCTCTTCTTCATCATTTTAAATGTTGAAGTTGCTCATCCTTTGGATAAACGAAATGACTCTTGTGTGAAGTTTCATTGGGATCGTAGGTTTGAATTCGGTTTTTTCTCCAAGGAAAACCACTCATTGAAAGGCTACGTTCGTAATTTAACAAATAATTGCCTTCAACATCATTCAGCAGTTGGGACAAAAAGTTGTCCAGCTCTTTCGGTGAAATTTCCGTTGATCTCTAGAGATCCAAATATAACGTTGAACAAGCTGCATAGACCTGTCTTGGCTACAAAAGAAGCCTCTACCAACACTGCAAGTCAGATTCTGCGCGCGTTTGAGAAGATATGGCAACTGTTCATTCTCTGCCTAATGGCTGCCATGTTATCAGGAATTCTGATCTGGTTTTTTGTGAGTATTTTCAGAATTATATATGGCATATAACGGATCAGTCTTTAAGTAAACTAATAAGCGTAGGTATAACGTTATAGACAATAAGATGCATAAAGGTTTGTGGATAGGAAAGACGCGGCTAAATGGACCACTTTCAAGGCATGGAAATAAAACCAGTAGCGTAGTAACTCTGTCTTTAGTTTCAGACACTGCAAATTTTACTAGCACTTGTTTCAGTCAGATATTTCCCCAAGCAGTGAACAGTTAAAATGAAGACCTAGAATTTAATGTAAAGCTGTTCTTCAGCCACGGTAGATATGCGTCATTCGCAATTCTTATGTCAAAAGAACTCGTGTGGTTTTATTTATCCACTGAAAGTTGCTGACGAAATTCAAAACAAGGGGAAACATGTGTGGAAAAGAAATAACATGGATAGAAAAAAACTAAGTTCTTACAAGAATAATAGAAAATATATTAATAATAAAAATTTTTATTTTAATACCATCTGTTACATTTATAAGCATTTTGTTCTCCATTTTTCTCCAAGAAAAATTCCAATTTTTTTAAGACTTAAAACTATATTGAGTTTATTAGGTTGGTTTGTTTACACCGTGAAAGGAAAATAATCTACGCTTTTTTTTTTCAACAGGATCACAAAGCAAATTCTGGACACTTTCCAAACCCATTTTGGAGCGGCATACGGGAAGGTTTGTGGTGGGCCATTGTTACCATGACAACAGTGGGGTAAGAAAATCAATTTTCAAGTATATATAGAACCTGTCAATATCTGCAAGAATAATAAGTAACATTATGTTCTACTCCCCTGCCTCGGTAATTGCTCTCCTTTGTGTATCCCAGAGTTTATTATTCGAGCCAAGAAAATTCTAACTTTGTGTTCTGCCCGGGAACATCAACAGCTGAAAAATTTACTTGCTGACTTGAATGAAGAGTGCAAAATGTCAACAGTTTTTATTGTAAATCAAATTAGCATATTTGTTTGGTAGGTATGGTGACAAGACGCCGCGGTCGTTCCTGGCGCGAGCCTACGCTTCACTGTGGATGATAATAGGAATGCTGTTAATGTCAACCTTTACTGCCCAGATCTCCTCGTCCATTACGGCTGATGGACTGAGTCCTTTAAACGAGATATTTGGAAACAAGGTATAAGATATGTATTTCATGGAACATTTGATTAATGTACAAAGACAAGCTAGAATTCTAAACTAGCTAACAACCAAGTGCATCGAAGTTCTCTTTGTTATCCTGATTTTTCAGATACTGGCATGTGTAATCAGCTTTTTCATTATTATTATAATTTATCCATTTTATTTATTGCACATTAGTTTCAATTTGTCAAACGTTTTATGTGCCCTTAGTTCGGGAGAGCGGTAAATCCCTACCTTTTCTGCATTAAATAAATGAACTATTCAGTATTTCATCTATGTTATCTCATTCCCTGACTGCTCAAAGGAAGAGCAGCTGATAATCCAGGAATGCGGTCTTCTTTGCTGCGCTTGTCCCTTGGCAGGTAAAATCCGGCACTAATGTGCAGTATAATATAATATGAAAAGAAAAATGGCGCTATGATTCGATAAAACCATTCTCGTTGCAACTGAATTTGACCATGCCTGTGAAGTAGCCAGGTGTAGCTAAGCGCATTGACCACTATAAACAACAGCATTGGAACTGTTGTTGTGGGCCAGAAAAAATGTCACAGATGTACACAGGCTCGGCCGGATATTTAATTTGTCCCAAAATACCCGGCTTGTATAGAACGGTTTTCATTTGGGGGTCGAAGAGTAATTAGGTTTGCATCACTAAGTTTCACAATTGGCTTAAAAAACGGTTCATTGGTTCACTGTACGCACGAGTCACATCTCCCTAGCCTCATTTAAACGTTTACCACTTTAATTACAACAGGGCTCTAGATCTGTACGACGTTGACAGCATAGGAACCTGGAGAACAATCTGTCCCAGGTTCAACACAGCGAGGTCTCTTCTGTGCCCGCCGTCGTGCTGTTTCTAGCGATTTGAACTTCTGTTTTGTTTCCTTTTGACTCTTCTTGTTTATATATGAGTAGCTTTAGCTACTGAATTTTGTTGTACTGTATTTTAGTTAGGCGAAGTTAAATAAATAACTGTATTGTCTGTACATGCGTCCTTTGTGATCGGCTAGATATATTACTTTGGTTTGGTTTTACGACACTCGATTGAAAATCACTCTATACCGTGTATTTATTGCAGATTGGTGTACCTTTAGGAAGCAAGAGTTTCTTTCAGAAATACTGCTACGGAGCGGAATCAGTGATAGGTATTAATCCAGTTATTGAGTGTTTTCACTCAGCTAACTGTGTACAATGTAGCAGTTCCTCGCGTAATTCACATTATTCTCTATTTCGGAATGAAACCAGTCTAAATATAATCTTAAACTGAGATTTGAATTTGGTTACACTGGAAGCTTAATTTCAGAGCGTGATAGCCACGAAGGGTGAGCAGGCTCATGTTGGAGCACAATCGCGCGCTGCGTAGCCGCGAGCGCGAAATCGAGCGGCGAAGCCGCGAGAGACGAGAAAGTGGTGCCTCTTCACCAGACTTCTTCCCGCCGGATCGCTTTGCTCTTCGCCGCTCGCGCGCGTGACTCAAAGGTGAGCTTGGTCGCAGGCTAGTTGTGGCTCATCAACCACAGTAGAAATAGCATTCTCTCTTCCGTGGGGTGTCAACGCCAACGTAATGTGATCACTTGCAAAAACGGAAAAATGTGGGCAATTACTCGGTCTAAAATGTCTAAGACGGCAGTGTGATTATTGGAATGACCGTAGCTTATGTTTTTGCTACATTTGTTAATTGCAGAATATTCAACTGAGCGTGAACTCCTCACAAGCTTGCAGAATGGTACTGTAGATAAAGTCTGGATGTTTGGCTGCCAGGCTAATCATAAAGAAATAAGTCCAGATTTCACGATCGTCAGCGTTCTCGATGATGACTTTATGCGGCAGAAACCTACAATAGGAGTAAGAGTTCAATTCTTGAACAGAAGCTACTTCGATCAAAATTTTACCGAATGTTTGGAAATGGATGGTGACGATGATGATAACGATCGTGATGATGATGATGATGATGATGATGACAATCTATTCTGGAAACAGGATGTAAGAAAGCATTGTTTAATTTTACTGACTTCATTGCTTTTCCCTTGCGAATTTTTGTCTCATTTGCTGTCACCCAACGTTTCTCCGATCCATAGTCATCATCGAAAAGTAACAAAAGGCTTGGATTGTCAAAATAGAACATTTAAATAATAATAACCGGCTTAGATCAGTAACCTAGATACTTTAATCGTATCTATTACAAACATTCCCTATTTGACTGGTTCTCCGCGCGTGTACTTGTCACGTAATATTGGCGCGCAATCCCATGTTTGTCCAATTTTAGAGGTGTCCAATAGGCCATTTGCGAGTTGCCTTTTGCTTCTGCGTCAAAACGAATCTTCGTGCAAAACCAGTCATATGAAAATCTGTTTCACTTGCACGTTCACTTTCATGTGGTTTTAAATCAGAAGCGTAATGTAACCCTGAAATGGCTTATTATAACTAGTTAGATATCTATTTTCTGTCTTTGAAGCTAGTCGGTCCACACGAATGTACACTCCTAGATGTCACAGTGCATTTGCTATTTAGTACAACTCCGCACATAGAGTAAACAAATACCAAGGGAGTGGAGGGCGTGGAATGCTGGGGCACTGCTGAAACCAAGGGAGTGGAGGGTGTGGAGCGCTAGGGTACTTCTGAAACCAAGGGAGTGGAGGGTGTGGAGTGCTGGGGCAATGCTGAAACCAAGGGAGTGGAGGGTGTGGAGTGCTGGGTCATTAGCCCCTTTGAATTTGGCTTTAATTCTTCGTTGATATCGGAGATGTTCTGAACATGAAATTGCGGTTGCTCTGTAGGTATTGCCTACCAATTAATCAAAATGATTTAGATTTCTTGTTTGTGTTTTTTTTAGTTCCGCTGCCTAAAAGACCATAGCAGAGGGAAATACCGTCAAGATGTGAAGCGGGCTTCATCTACTCGCCGGTTGGGACTCATCGATCATGTTCTGCTGGCCTGTGGCGCTCTGATCATCATCTTGTTGACGATAGGAGCACTGTGGAATGTTAGCATCAGAGTCAGACACATGGAAATCACCGCTGGTTTGTATCTTAGATCTCAGCCTTCAGATGAAATAGAATAGCCCAGTTTCGAGTTCGCCATGACCGCTCAATAAAAGCACTGAAAACGCATTTGCACAGGGTTAGCCTCGACCTAAAAAAAAATATTCACAAATACTGGCGGGAAGGTGCCACAAATTTGAAAATTAAACAATACACAGAGCTGTAAACAGGCCATCTTCTCGCTGGAATTTGTGAACATTTTACTTTAGGTCGAGGCTAACCCTGTGCAAATGCGTTCTCAGTGCTTTTAATCAGCGGTCATGGCAAACTCGAAACTGGACTATTACACTCATAAATAATTAAAATGACTTCAGTTTTTGTACCCATCACTTAAGCCGAACCTTTTACTTGTTCTCTGTCATGTCTGAGTCTCTTCAGTCATGATATGTTCAGCACAGATGAAAGTCGTTTAGGGTCTTAAAATTCCTGCACGATCCAACAAAAACGTCCGTTTGGAACAAAATATGCATCAGAACATTAACAGGTGGCCATACCTTTAAGTTGCTTGAGTAATTCCCGTCTATTTCATTCTGTAGTTTAACCTATGACAAAATCTCAGTTGTTTCATCTTTTGCTGTCTTATTCGGCCCCATGCACAACAGACAAAACGCCACATGACTTACCCTATCGTTTATTCTTTCCCTATTCTAAATTAAATTAAAACATTTCCCTATAAATTACGTAGGCTGTGTTCACACTTGATGTCCGAGCAATGGTGCTTGGGCACCCGGCACAAAATGGTGTTGCGTTCAGACACTGGGAACTCCAAGTACTCAAGTACCATCAAGTGCCCGAGTACAAGGTCATGATCGAGTTCACGGGCACGGGCACGGTGTCCGAATTCTGGTGTGTGTACCTGGAATAAAGGTGTGTTCACATTAGTGCAAAGATGGAATCGCACTGGAGCACCGTGCTAGTCACCAAGCGTGAACATAGCCCTAGTGTCATCACTGAAGGTGTAAGGGACAAGAAATTGGACGAAGGGTATCTACGCTATCCTCACAAAAGATAAATTCTCAATTGACAATTAACTGATATCTTTTATCAGGTAGCTTTTTCATCGGTACGCACGTGCACCATATTAAAACCTCTGCTATTACTTATTAATAGTATAAACATGAAAAAATTCGCGTAGAAGTGCCAGAAGATCTTTCTTGAAGCCACTTTTTCTCATTCGAGAAAACCTTTTTCAAAGTTTCTGCACAAAATTTTTGTCATCATTTTACGTGATATCATTGGCTTAGAAAATTTCCTATTGTCTTTCTGCCAATCATAATCTAGAATTATGATGTGTAATTTGCACTGATGTTACACTTTTTGCACTGGTGTTACACGTGAACTGCACTGCTCTCAGCCAGTCAGAATCGAGTAACTTTTTCATGTATATTATTAATTATTCTAACACATTAAAATTAGCTTTTGTTTGTGATAACAGTGAGTAAATCCCAGGCGAGGTAACATCAGATAGCCAGGACTGGTAACGCCCCGATTAACAGTTTTCATCTTTATATTTCAGGTAATGCTGTTGATGTTGAAAAGGGAGTATGGAACATCGAACTAGGAGTGAAAACAAGTGAACTGCAAACGAAGGAGCTGACTGTAGTTTCCGGCTGAGCGTATTAAAGGAGCTACGCCATAGAACGCGCATCTTAAAACTTTTTTAAAGTTTGTTAATTGTAATCCGTGTAAATCTTTCTCGGTCGTGACCATCCTTATTCATTTTTGTTTTTTAAATTACAATTTGAAGTCATTCTGTCTTAGGAAATTATCTAAAGTAATCAGAAAATGACTTAAAATGTCGTGACATTGCTGCTTTAAGAACAGATACATGTGAAAGTAAATGTATTAGATACTTAATTGCATGTTTTGTAAATAATTGCTCATCCCTGCAAAGTGGGTTGAGCTAAATCGGTCTAGATACGCCCATAGTCTTCCTTGAAAACTCTATCCACGAATGGCCTCGCGCTGGTGTATAGACGTTTTGTTGGTTTTCCAACATCTCAGCTAATCAAATCAAAGAATATCAAGCTCTCCACGTGCACTGTACCAGCTCCCGATTATGCTCTGCTTCCTTGACTTTGATTAGCCAAGCGATGGAAAAACCAACAAATTGATGTCTATCTTGAATTTCAGCCATTCGCTGGAGTCGCGCCCAACGAGATGGTTCAATTTCAAGTTGCGGACAAAAAAAAATACTGTTTGGTGGTAAAATGTGGGGTAAATGAAATATTACTGTTGCACGTACTACAATTTAACATAACTAAATGACTACTGGCAAACATTGCTGTTTTCAGTAAAACTTTTATTTCTCATAGCCTTCAGCAGATCACTCAGTTCATTTAAATCGTTCAAAAACATTTCAAGCGAACGATGCCCCTGCATAATTCACTATTAAATAGATTTACTGTCAATGTATTTTCTAAGTATTGTAGTTTGTGACCACTGTATTTACTTCTTATATTTAATACTTTCTAGAACCTTAGCTGGAATTTGAAATAATCTTGTTACCTCTAATCGATTCAGTTAGAGAGAGTTCACCTGAAAAGAGATAAACACCTTAAGATTTTCAGGTCGACAGACTTCCTCCAACAGCCAAAAAAAGAAACTACACATTGCACGGCAACAAAAGCACACAAATACTTAGCACAAGGAGCGGCCTTTCACTCTATCTACGCCACCATTCATAGCCTTGCATTCCAAATTCTGTACACACAAAATTCCGACTCTATTCAATTCAAATAGAGGAAAACATCTTTGTTTCTCTTCCTCAAAAATAATTTCTCTACCCCTGAATAATTATTGCTGCAACCGAGTTTCATCCTTCTTGTTATATTATGTACCGGGGGAATTGATTTATTTTTTCTGTACAGCACCGTTCGAAATTATTCAAGGTTTCAGTCATATTATGTCAGGTGTACAAAGATGGAGCTTCAGCACGATTTGAAGTCGCCTAGGACAACACCCGTCAGAGAGCCCCTAATAATGAGTTCCTCTCAAGTAGTTTGAAACTGACTGCTAATAAATTCTAGCGCAACCCAGACCGACTATCAAGTAAACGCGCAATCTGACTGGCTTGACAGGGTTTTTTTTTTGGGGGNGGGGGGGGGAGAGTTGATCAACAATTAACGGCGAGTTTGAGTTTTTCCATGTCCTTACTGGTTACCATACATTTCTTAATTCTGACAATTATTGATAGATCAAGAGAATGTCCGCAAGCTTGTCTTCACTCTCGGGACAGCAAAGCTTCAGGATACAGGACCACGTGTTTACATCTCATCGCACTGCTCTGCCTTGTTCTACAAAGCTGTTTAACACATGTAAATGAAGTGGTCCACAACAGTCCTGTATCGCGTCACGCCAAGCAGCTGACTTCAGGATCCTTGGCCTGGCTGTGTAAAGATGGCGACCAGTTGGATGATCAGGATCACGTCAGCATCTGATTGACCGACAGATCTCTTCTCTACACCAAGAGTTTCCATGGTGATGTCAGTTACAGACACACTCGTGTCATCTGTTCACGAATAACTTGATGGCGCCGCTCCAGTCAGCGGTAACCAGAACCTCTGTGGTGAATGGCTGACAGCTTGAGTCGGGTGGAATAATTAGCCAGGGAACTGGGGCGAACATTGCTGCAGTTACCACAACCGCGTGGGCTTGAAAATTAGAAAGTAAAAGTGATTTGGTTTTAGCTAGGTAACCGCCATTTAATGCCTTAAACTAAGAATTGGTGCGTGAAATCGAATCTGAGCTTTAAAAGAAGGAAATATGGTGGCTCATTCACCTTACAGAGGCGATAGACGGGATTTAACTGTTGAAAATGATAAATGTGTCTGCTTCCTCAAAATTTGGGAGGAGTGGGAGGGGGTTCGCTTTTATAGCCAACCATTCTAAACTGGCGCTGCGCTGTAGCAAAAGGTAACATGTTTTTCTATGCTTACAACCCTTTACATGCTCTCCCGTTCTTGATTTTCCACGACTGGCATCGTTAACACATCCTCCAGAGCCGGCTCTACCGACTGTGTGTGTTGCTTCTTATTCTGATCAATTCATCACTGTGACCCTGGTCACGTGTGTTCAAGTTGGTACTCTCTTCTGACACATAATTTCATACGGTGAGAGATTTGTCTTCAATTTCTTGTCTTACCTGAAAAGCTCTCATAAAACTCGTTTTTGTCTCTCCTCGAGGAAGGAAATCCGTGTTGAGTTCTCCAAATGTAGACAAAATGATCCTCTGAACCACAGATGACATATTGACCATCATGACTGTAAAAAAAAAAAAAAACTTAGTAAGTTAGGATTTCTGTCTACTGGTCGCCATACATCCCTTTTGATGCTGATACGCTGTAAAATATTATCACTACTTTTTTAATTCTCGCTACACTTAATTTGCCCCTTAATTTGCTTTAATCTTGTTCCTGGTCCTTTGACAAAAATCAAATTTGCCTTGAAAGGACTTTTCAATTACTGCTGATAGAAGATAAAGAGTTTCTTGTTACTCACCTGAAGCTCGCTTTGATTTGACTGCTGGAATTGACGCAACCTTTGTACTTGCAGTTTAGAGAATTGTCCTTCAGATCATAAAGTCTTATTCGAGAATCATTTGACGTGATCAGAACCTAAACAGGCAACAGGAAAACACGATGACTTCAAGAAAATATCCACACCTAAAGTATACCTGAAGTAATAACTCGATTTTAAGGCAAGTTTATAAAAAACTCGACTTAATAGTCCAGTGACCTTATCTTCTCCAGGCATGGGTTCAATACCGCTGATCTTGCGCCCGCGAGCCTTCTTGTTTCGTCCAGCCCGTACTTGCCATTGAGTATGATACTTGAGTCGCTGATGAAACAAAACAGAACTAAATGAGCAAAGACACATGTGGATTCCCTCGCATGTAATTATGGCTTGCTGACATAAAGGAATACGAACCACAGATAATTTAGAGGATGAGATTTCTACCATGTTGCCTATTAAGTAGCCACTTGTATCTCTGGGTAGAGAGAGACACCCTGACGGTAAAGTGTCTTACCCAAGAGCAAAACACATTGACCTCGGCCAGGGCTTGAAGCCAGAAGCTAGCATACTTTGAAACATTGTGTGGCCCAGGATTACCAGTCCACACCCGTGACCAATGAATGTCCAGAGTATATTTAAACAAGCAAAGCCTCAGTCATCTCACCTCGGTTTCATAGAAGATGCATCGTCCATCATAAGTGCCGACCACAGCAAATTTGCCATTCAAACAGAAATTAGCTGCAGTAATAAGGTTACTTCCTATTACGAGAAATGAAAAGATAGATATATTATTATATTATTATATTATTACTGCTGCTGAATTGCTGATCTTTTCTTGGAGAAGTGGTCATTTGACTACAGCAAAATTGCAATTTCTCAAACCTTCCAATATTTATACCAAAAGTCGTTTCCCTTAAGTGTGTTTTGCAATTTTAACTCCTAACATTTTCTCCCAACTCCCCCTAAATATCTTGAACAATTGTTGTTTCCCTTCAGTGTTCCAGAAAATAATCTGAATTCAACTGCACTTGATTTTACAACTACATGTAAGAGAATTATTGACAATATTGCTTTATGAAGATTTCCCCAAAATGACAGAGATACTTGTCATCATGGTAATAGACCAATTTCGATATATTAAAATTCAGCCTAAAACAATAGACCTCAGTATGAGGCTCTGGGGAATAGCTACAGAGTTTGTGAGGTTTATTCCCGGGAGCCTTGTGTTGAAGTCTGTTGTTTTAGGCTGAATTTTAATATATCAAAATTGGGCTTTTGCACATAAACCACAGAGTAATTAAGCCATCAGAAGACATCAAACAGACTTACCAGTTCCTTCAAGCTCATTCCACAGTGCCACCTTCTTGTCTGGTATATTCCACAGACGGATTTTACCATCAAGTGAGCCACTTAAGAAGTAACGATCATCCTGTGACACAAAACACAACATACCTAATTATTTGATATTGCTCGTGTTACACACAGTTTGCAATAGCACTTTTAGTATTAATTAGTCGCCACTCAGCTGTGTTCTATTGGAAATCGGTGAATCAGATTGGTTCTCTCATTGTTTTCTATTTGCTGATAGACACTGATCACGCATGCTGCTCTTAAAACAGAAAATTATTCCTAATTTTAGGCTTGAAAATACACAAAATCGTAGGACTGCTTTAGAGTGTCTACTGAAACAATTACACTACTTTCCCTTGCTTTCTATGAGTTATAGTCAACTTAGCTACACCTCATTGACCATTCACTCATAGAAAACTTGGGCTCATAGTCTAATTGACTGATTTCATTGATGTCATTGCATGGCCATGCGTTTTCAAGGGGTAATATCTACGTAAGCCTCATTTTGTAAAATTGTGTTGCACACCAGCAGGTTCTTTATTTTGTTTTCAAAAGAAAAAGTACATGGCTTAACAGATTTAAAAAAAACAAAAGAAGAGGGTTTCCCAATGCCACTGCAAACTAAAATCAATATAAGGTGTCAGAAAGTTACAGTGAGAACTGAAATCACTTTGAATCTTTGCATCATTGTACCAGCTGTAAGTAGGATTAATGACTTACCCTGGGATGGAAACAAATAGCTGTAACAAAGTCGATATGCTGAAAACAGCACAGACATTCAGATCTAGAGATATGCCACAACCTGCAGCAAAATTCAAGCAAGTTGTTAGTTCCTAAGTCGTCTTGACTATTCCATAAACAATTCAAGAACGAAGGACTTGATAGATTTAAAACAAATACTCCTTAGGAAATAATAATAATAATAATATTTAATATTTTCATAGTGCAAATTAACATATATAATTATATAATCAAATGCACTTTACAACATATACAATCATAAAAAATAAAATTAAAATCCACTTTAGTAAAATTTGAAAGGATCGAATAAAAAATGTTAAAAATTGCATCTGCTACTTGATAGTAGACTAGAGAATGTGTTGACTCAGATGTTTTAAAAAAGGGAGGTAACAAAGTTCAGATGTCACTTAACTTGTATAATACCACATGTGAGAGTACCACAAACACCAAAACTGAGTTGTTCTCCACAAAAGCACTTTCCAGTGCATGAAATAACTAGACAAATCAGTTACTGTACATTAAAATATAATCACACAGCAATACCTTACAGTCTTATCCATTGAGGAGGACAGCAGGAAATAATTCTACAAAACAAGATATATGACCAAATATGAGAATTCTGCATCAGGGACCTACATTACAACTACAGACAATTTTAGCTTTCATACCTTGGACCAAGACAAGTCCAGCACATCCCCAGTGTGCCCACAGTAGGTACACAGAGGTGTTTTCATATAAGGGCCCAAGTCCTCATCAACAGGGGCAGCTGGCTCCTGAAAGACAGGTTAAAGTGCACACCTTGAAACAGTTCACCAGTTGTGATCATACATGTGTAGAAAATCTTTTCACCATTATTTTTTCATTATTTTACTAACATACGTAAATTGGCCATGCCTATTTTTTACTTTATTGTGTAACTTGAATCTACATATTGCACCAAGGAACATGATTTTAAAAAATTACTAAATTTTCAAAAACATTCAAATTTGCTGCCATTTTGTTTCACCATTAATTTTTGCATTAGTCTAATCTCAGTTCAGAGCTGTGATGTAGATTACCATACATGTGACTTCAGACTGAAAGTAAGCAAGTTAAGTTCTTCAAAGAGAAATGTCTTTGAGTTCACTCAGCATGGCCAGATCACTGCCCCCTCCAGTCTGAGTAGGATTAAGACACCATGACTAACCTCACTATCCTCACTGTTTTCTGTTTTGTCCTCAACTGTATCTCCTGTGTTTTCTTCATTGGATTTTAATGTTCCCTCCATTTCTGAAAACTCATCTGAGTTTTTGTCACGGTCAGATGATGAATTGTCACCTTGAAGGACAACATAGTAAAATTTTAAAACATTTGAAACAAAGATTACAAATGCTGTCTGAGACTTTTCTAAAAAAGGTATGCACCTTCAATATCCTTAACACAGTCTAGAAATAAAAAGACACCAAATGAAATGGTCTGTAGTATCAAAGAGCACATCAAAATTAATTGCTTTTATCAAGGAATATTTAAATTTTAATTTGAAGGGTTTGGTGCCATAACAATGACCCATTCTGAAAGCGCACTCGTCAACCTTCCTCAGCCTGCAACATTATTAAGAGGAGTTTTCATGTACAATGGGTGTGACATTACATGTAAAAAACTTTATTTAAAGATTGAATTCTCACCTGTTTTAGAGTATTTTGCTCTCATTTCTTCAAAATAACTCTGGGATTCTTTGAGTACCCAAACTCGCTGCAAATCAACACAAAATGGAGACCAGGTTACGGATGTACATTTAAGTACAAGTTAGGCTTTTTTTTTTTTTTTTTTTTTTNTCGAGTGGTCCCGGATCTCTACAAAGTCCTGCATGAAAATATTGACAAGAAACAGATAAGCAGTGTGTCCGAAACTCTCACCGCTCTGTGATAATCGATCCGTCGATCGATTGTCCACCGAGCTACCAAGTTACTGAGTTTTCAGGCTTTTTTTTTTTTTTTTTTTTTTCAAGGTGACACATTAAATCATTAAGTCACTTGTTGAATAAACAAGACTCTAATCTACGCACCACCATGTGATCCTGGCCAGCCGTAGCCTGTGAGATAAAAGAAAAGTATTTCATCTAAGTGGACAGGAAAGAATACTTGTGAACAACTGCCAAAAACAAACATGTATCAATAGTACACCCACCATGAGTCTGCCACAAAGAGTGAATTTTATTGTCCAAACAGCTCCCTAAACAAAAATAGATTGCAAGATTTAGCTCAAATTAAGTCCAGAGGATGGCCTGGGTCTGGTGGTGAGGTGTAGGCAAGGCCTGGATACTAATTAGATGCATTTTTTACTTGTTATTATTTCAGATTGAGGACAGTGAAAAGCTTGGACTGATAATTTGATTTGAGAGGGAAGGGGAGGAAAGGGTAACCAACATTTATTGAGTGTTGCGTTTGGATTTCAATTGGGTACATGTATGTATTAGTGACTCTGACCAGATGTACATACCACATGTTCTCCACTAAGATCCTGTAAAATTCGCAGCTTCTCAAACTCAGCGGGACCTTTTCCATGGCCAGACTTGATCTGATAACAATTAAGATGAAAGCACTGTTACTGCAGGGTGGAAAAGGTAGGGATACCTCATTTCAGCCAAGATGGACAAAGGTGTGGTTAGTAGAGAGTAGGTAAGGGAAAAGAAAGGGGGCACAAGACTATGCTAAAGACATTTCTTGCAGTGTATATAGACTATTCGACAGCAAATAAAGTCATTAACAAGGAGACATTTTGAATTACTACCAAATTTTCAGAGCTACAACCATAAACACAGGTGTGTGGTAAATCAGAAATGAGAGCTGGGACTAACCTTGATGAGAGGGGTATGAGAATCCTGAGGAGTTTCTTCATCACTTGAAGAACTGTCATCTTTACGCACTAAAAAATATTACACACAAAATTAAAAGCGTTCATTTAGCAAGTCTGAGTAAAAAATCTTTAACAGGGATAGAGGTTTACCTTCTTTGTAATTCACACTCCCTTTTAACAGTCTAACCCCAAATCTATTAAAGGTGTGTACATAATACTTAACAACAAGCATACATGTACCAATATAAATAATGCCTTTGCCTTGTCTTGCTTCCCAATCAAGAGAGAAATAAGAGCAGTTTGGACGGTGTAAGTTGTATAACTCATGTGACATGAAGAGGACTGAGTGAGTATGCTATGCAAAGTTACTATCTCAGGGTATACAGTTTCACTGATCAAACCAACCTTTTGCAGCTTTGTCTGGCTTTTTCACTTTTTTACCGAAAAATTTCTTCAGCTTTTTCCTATAAAAAAAACAGGTCACAGGAAATGAAGCACATTATAAGAACAGAAAAAAAAATTCCAAAATCCACATATTGACCATCGATTTAAACAACAAAAAGACATTTTTATGCTTTACGTTTTCTTTGAAACTTTCCGTTCAAGTCCATCTTCATGATCTTGGTTTGCAAGGTCTGGATTGCTAAAAATGAATTATAAACAGTAAATTTAGTAAATATCTCAAGAATCTTTCTAGCTCTAGCTGTAGAGGTTTCATTGACATTTTTGGCAGGAGGGCAACTAGTTTTCACAGATGGGCAAAAATTTTAGAAGTAAACTTCTTTATGAGAAAAACTTTCCTCTAGCTGGTCAAACCAGGCAAGCAAAATCTTGCTCACAGCCAGTCAATTTGCCCAGTGCCCAGCCCGTAATGAAACTCCTGGCTAGCGGAGAATTAGGAATGAATGCTCTCAAACTAAAGATTAAAATGAAATTGCTGTTTATTATTGAAAATGGCAACAATTTGGATCCACATACTGTGATGATTTATTTATTATACTACATGGCGGTATGTAGTTAAAGGAAGATGATTAATTTTTCCCAACAGCATTTATTTTAATTACTCAGTTATTCAGGTTAATAAGATTATATTGGTTTACCTTGAATACTCAGATGTTAATATCATGATCTGTAAGGCTAGAGGGTTGGTACATTTTGGCAATTTTTCCTCTGCAACACTTAGGGGTACAGCTTCTCCTGTGTCAAGGTTCTTTACCATAACTTGCTCCAAAATTTCCTGCAACAGTCATACAAAAGCTGTGTTAACATCACCTAAGAAGGTCAAAATAGTTGTCCACAAGCTATCCACATGGCTGTGTAGAGGTATTGCACACATATTTTTTACTTTTGCAATGCCAAAAATACCACAGATGATTAACATCTCTATTTTATAACTGCAAGGTCTCATTACACATCCGTGCTCCTGACCTGAAGCTTTTGAAAGGAAACCTCAGTTAAGAACTCTGAGGTTTCAATGTGCTTTCCCCAAGCTCCATGTCACATAACAACAATGATATCAATGCAATGGCCTACCAATTAAAGAGTGAACAATGTATTCTCCATAACACTCAAACTAAACATTATATGTATATGGTAAAAAATAATTATAACAAGCTTCATTTTTAAATATTGCAAATTAAACAACAGAAACCCCCTCTTAGGTCAATAGAACACTTACATGTACTTTATCAAATGAACTTAATAAATATAAATAAATGAATAATAAAAAAATATTAAAAGAACTGACACATAAACTTTTTTAGTTGAGTCATTCAAGTAAACACTGTCTCAGTATACCTTGAATGTAAATTTGCATGGAAAATAAATTAAATAACAAAAAAATAATGATCTACTTGATATGTTGATCTCATCAACAATATCTCACAATATACTCACAATATCTCACAATATACTCACAGTATCTCATAATATACTCACAATATCAGACAGGGGTCTTCCAGAAGCTGACCTGTATCGTACCAATCCATGGTGAGATCCATACGGCTGATGCTGCGAGAATGAACTAGCAACAGAAGTAAACGAACCTGCAGAATTCTCCAAAATACCATTTGATATACCGCTTGCCACACTACCATAACTTCCTGATCTTGTGCTACCAAGGGAGACAACACTGCCTGACTTAAGTCTAGAATCTAAATTTAATGCCGATATAACTTCCGTAGAACTTGCTTTTTCTAACACAGTCTTCATTTCTTTGTTATTTGCATCAACATGAATGCTGGGATCGTCTTCATGAATATCGTTTGATTGTGATTCAAGTTCTTTGGGTGCGTTTTCCTGTTCATTGGAAAGTGCTGCTGCCTGAGCAAAAGCTTCCACTGGACTTGCTGCTGCTTGTTCAGTCGGTGTTGTAACAGCTGAATCTGGTCCAGGACTTTCTGAAGGTGTCGGTGATCCTGGTGTCTAAATGGAACAACAAACGAGATTATAAAGAAGACACCTTTCAGGCCATTTCCTGAAAGTTCTAAGGACAGTGTATGCTTTGTATTTTGGTTTCATAACTGCATGTACTTTTAACCTAAACAGTTGGTAAAATTTGTCCCAATACATCTTCAACCTTCTGGTCAAATTGTTGATGCATTGGATTCCTAATCAAGCACACTAGGGCTATTACAGGGGCAGATCCAGAAAATTCAGACAGAAGGGGTACAAGGCCCCCCCCCCCCTCCCCCCACCCAAAACCAAATGAAAACTTCACTTTCCCTGGAGAAGCTGCTTATAGAATTTCAACAATAAATGAATAAGGGGGGCTGCAGCCCCCTTCGCCTCCTCCCCTAAATTTGCAGAAGTGTGGCAGCTCTTGTAAGCTTGTAATTCTCTTCATTGTTAGCAGCTGTTATTGTTTTAGGGCTAGGGGCATTGTTTCGGTTGTTTGTTCTATTGTTCTCTCAAAGGGCAGCAAGCCATTCATGTGAGACCTTACGAGGGCTGCTACATCACCCTAAATTTGCCCTGCATTGTTATGTGTTCTCACATATCATTGTCTTTTCCTACTTATCAGCTGGCAAACTGTTTGGGTAACCTAACAGCACTGTCACTTGAGGGTGGTAATATACAATTGATTAGCAGCTCATCTGGTCAAGTGGTAGCAGAAGACACACCTACATAATGATTGTAGATCTTTGATGTCACAGAAACTAAGATTTTAATAATAGCAAGCAGTATGGGCCACTTTGACCCGAGTAACTGCATGAATCTTACATGTACCACATGACTACTAACCTGTAATTCTCCTTCAGCTTTCTTTTTCCTTTTCCGCCTTCTAGGTGGAGCCACTGGAGGAGTACTTTCTTGCTCTATGCTTTCAACAACATCAGCAATAATCTGACTAGCATCTGTTTTGGGCATTGTCAAATCTGTCTTTTTCTCACAGTTATGATGTTGCTCAACTTCTATTTCTCTGTCAGTTTTCAAATCTGCATCACTAACTTTCGACTCACTTTCTCCTGAATGAGCCTGAAACATGCTGTTGCTGTCAGTAGCATGATTTTCATGAACAAATTTGGATTCACTGTCATTGGCTAAAGAAGAAATGCCTGATTCTTGTTTTTCTTGTAAATCATCAGCTGTATTATTCAAAGCTGTACTTTCTCCACAAGTCTTGACAATGTCAGTCTTGTTTGTTTTATTGACTTCAGAAGCTGTCGACTGATTTAATTCTTCACTTGGAAGTTCAGGTTGGTCTCCAGAAGAAGTGTCAATTGTACCACTCTCAGGAGGTCCATCCACAATGTCCTACAATAAGTCAATAAAAGATCAGTCACAGAAATACCTCTTAGAAGCCTTTTGGTGCTAAGTTTGAATGAAATTACCATTTCTAGTGAATAGAAACATCAAGAAAGATTGCTCAATTACGTCAAAGCTAACTTAAACATTTCTTAGAGTTTCATTTAGATCTTCAAAATCAGTCAAGAGGCAAATAAAATTAATTACTACATCAAATAGACAACAACAATTCAGAAAACCAAATAGCTATTAAAATTTAGTTGGTAATAACAATTGCAAGTGAGAATTTTATTGCAACAATCAAGAACATGTTTGTTCAATGCCTTCAAAACAACATACAGTGTATTGGGGTTCAACAAGTCATCTACCTTCAGAGGACAATCCCTGTAGGAGGTCTATAATTTCTGAATGCATTTTTCTGGAAAAATAACTGTTCCATTTGGCATTCAACCAAAATTTCTGCATTTTTGGGCAAAATGTAAAACTACCTTTAACGTCAAAATATTATATTCCTGCCAAGATGCTCTATTGATTTTCCATATTTCCACATGTATTGGTACATTCTTGCACATATGCTTACATCACAACCATGTATAGTGGTAATAATATATGTGCGCCACTTTTCAAGTGCCTTGTACTGCAGTCAAAAACAGAGTCATTCCAATTAACTGCTACTGACAAGAAAAATTAAACCTGGAAGTTAGAGTTGAGTGGCAGCTCTCGTTAAGATTTTAAGGAAAGTTTCTACACTGCTAATTGTTTTGAGTCAGTTGTGACAAGTGGTTTTTATTTCGTTTAAAGAGCGATGAAATTGCACAGAATTACATAAGTTGCTCGCCAACTTGTCAAATGCTGACTGTGCGAATACAAAAAGCATGAAAACAAAACCAGAAACTACCTTTTGTGCAATGTTTACATCGTGCTGTGCGCTGAAAAAAAGAAAAAAAGACAATAAACCACAAGCTAGTTAACAAAAATTGAAATAACTTTAAATAAGCTCAAGCTTTTAGAAAATGAAAAGTCCCTGTGGAAGCGGGATGAAATAATCGTGGTTTTGAGAGGAAGAATTGCTCGATAATCAGATATATAAAAATTAAACTAACGTAAAATTCTATTGTTCAGTTGAAATTTTCCAAGCGTAACATGTACAGATAGAATAATTACATGAGTGAGGGGAAAAAATAAAATATTTACACCAAACGACGTTCATACGAGGCACTTTTCGAACAAGAGCAGAGGTCGGAATGAAATTGGTACACACCTTAAATCTGACGTGAAAGACCCAGATAAAGACAGCTTCTCGGGAGCATCGAAGAATTCGTTATCAGAATCACTTTCACTCTGCATCTTTCCGTATTGCAGACGCAAACGAAGTCGAACCACCGAATTGTAATAAGTCTGTCAGGTCATTGCAAAAAAAAAATTGCAGCCATATTGGAACCTCGCCTCTACCCAGAACGCTTCGCTTCCATCTGGAGATCAACAATAGAAGACGTAATTTGATTGGTTAATTTTTGGTACTGCAAGGCAAAAAAATTAGCAGCTTCCCAAAGTACGTTTTCACAGCGAAAAAAAAAATTCACGACAGTAATGACAGTCATGAACCCAGAAGCAAAACGCAGTAAAACGCAGAAAAAATGACGACCTGAAAGACCTGGCCATTTGAAAGGAGTTGTTTGGAAATATGATATAACACATGTTTTGATTGGTCATAGGAGAGTCAGCCAATCATCAGAGCTGATAGAACACCAACACCGGATATTTTTCCTGTCCGGTCTGCGAAGGAGTACGATTGACACCACTCGGGAGGAAACCAACCTTCTAAATGCATAGTTTGCATGGTTTTCTTTAGCGCGGAGCCCACTGAGAATGCTCTTTGATAAGACATAGCAGATATGTCCACGATTCAAAGGTATTTCCACGGCAACTGACCTCCCTTGGTAGACAATTTGTTTGGTTCCTCCCTCTGCAAGCGGAATGAATTGCTTGCTTTCGACACTCACAATCTCGCTCGAGTAACCATGATTTTTACTTAGTTTATTACAGCGTAACCAAGGGTTAGAAGACATTGTGATAACCTTACTGAAGCTTTATATCTTCTGCAAAAAATATACTTTTAAAACGTAATACTTTGTTTGGCCTGAACTGCTTTCTTCATTCCAACTAAGGCTTATTCAATTCATTCTTAATGTATTCAGTTTAGTCGTTGTGCAAGTTCAGGTTCGACCGTCGTTGGGTATCTGGGAAGACCACAGGCAATCTAGTACAGGTCATAATAAACAAGATAAGAACAAAAACACGCTTGCGGTTTACCAGCAATCTTTAAATGTTATATTTAAACTTAATCATATGCAGTATGAAATTAGGCTTGCAGTGCATTGTACCTCGATGAAAGCTTGAATTTTAATTAGGTCTTTATTTAAGCTTAATATATCGAATTAGTTTTATTAAAATGACAAAATGTGATTGGCTGGTCTCCGTAGTCAATCTTTGTCTTTTTTTGCTTTTCTATAAATAACACCACAGTTGAACCTATGCCTAAAATATCTGGCACAGGTTGACAGGATTGAGTGTATCCTTTGCCCTTTGCGTGTTATATTGGCCTGAGCGATTACTTTGGCTTTGGTGTTATGACACTAAACAATAGAAAACCACTCTATAGTTTGAAATCGACATGGCTCTGTCAATCCAGCCAACTTTTGCTACGTACATGTACGTCTCTGTACTAAAAGAGATCCAAGTACATGAAAGGCATTTGGGATATAAATTTTATTCCAGACTGCCATAACCTGATTTGACTGGTGTCATGAAAACCAAACATAAGCTTTTTTAAATGTTTCAACCGTAGTCCAGTAGATGAATATGGCTTCCATCGACCTGATGACTTTGATTATTCAAGCTATGAAGAATTTATGTCAAGTTACATTAGGATCCTGGCTAGAAGAGCTTCAAGGTGGGACAGCTTCCTGAGGGGTGTAAATAAAGTGAGGAAATCAAGACGAGGTAAAACAACATTGTAATACTGACGCTTAATTAAACATGATGAAAAAATGTCCATCGAATATTGATGCAGACCAATATGTTACTCTTGATATCTACATGTACATGTACATTTTGTATTGTCAGTAGGATTTTGTGACCCTCTGTATTACTGTAATTTCCGTATGTGCATTGCTGAACCCTTAACAGTAACACTTGAGCCATTGACTCCACTTGATGTGGTTTTTCTGAAGTGTTATTCTCTGCTTTGTCAACTCTCAGTCAAGAGGTTTGTCAGGAAGGGAGTTCCATCTGAGCTCAGGGCCCAGGTAATTAAACAAAAGTAATGTGTGACTGTATATTCAGCGTTTAATTGGGATCATGTGTACATTGTACTAAAGGCATCCGATCGATTGATACTCTCAATTGCTTCCCTTGATCGTCATCTTGATGGATACTTGATCAACATCCCGATCTATACTCGGTCAACACTCGATCAACACTTGATCAACAGCTGGTCCATAGTTGGCCGAGTGTCGACGGACAAGTTCATATGCATTGATCAAAAATTAGTTGACTGCCGATCAACCATCGAATGAGATGTCGATCGAGTGTCAACTGAGCTTTCAATGGAGTGTTGATCAAGTGTCGATCTAGAGTATTGATTGAGGGTATCGATCGACACCCGACCACAGATGCCTTTAGTACACATGATTCTTTAATTGCAGTGAGGTTCAAGTAGTCATTCCATTATGGTGAACAGGTTGATAATGTTACTGTGTAGAGACTGATTGATATTAGGTCAAATATTTTTGAAGTTTGATACAAATGAGTGTAGGCTTCAAACAGGACTGTCTTGATTTGTTAGCTCACAAAATTCTCCTTCATCCTGTCCTTATCGTAGTAGGACATAGAACTGTTTTCCAAGACAAGTCAAGCCAGCTAAGTGACTGGCTACGTTGATTGTGTAACTAATGCTTTATCAAGCGATCAGTTGTTGTAATATTTTTTACCAGAGATGCCTGAACTGTGCCTTTGTGACAGTAGTGTAGAAACTCAGGGGTTTAGACACAATTGCATTTCTTGCTGCTGTCAATTTAGGGGAACAATATTCGGGTTAACCTTGGGGAAAAGAAACAATCAACAAAATAGATCAGTTTCCTAAGGGGTCTACTAACTTGATGGAATATGGTAGCAAAAATCGCAACCATTATTTGAGCAAAGTTCAGGCAAAGTTTAAAGACTAAGTCAATTCTCAATCAGCATAATTTTATGTAGTTTGAAAATTTCATTTGTTTACTACATGTAGGTAACTGCATAACCAACATTACCAGTTCAGTTTTTCTGTGCACATAAAGTTTGGGTTTAACTTCATTAGCTAATTAGTTAATAACTGAGGATTTGGCTTTTTTCAAGGTATGGGTAGACATCAGTGGAGCAAGAAAGAAAATGAAGTTAAACCGTGGTAAATACCAGCAATTAACAGGAGATAGTTCACTGGATGAACAGACCTTGCATGCTATACAGACAGGTATATTGACTCCACAGTCAGTCTATACATGTGCTCATCCATATTTTTCAGACTTTTATTAAATTATATTGAATTATGTTAATTGTTTAATTAATCTCATTTTTCGTTTGAACATTTTCTCTAGATATTGACCGTACCTTTCCTGATAACATTCATTTTTCCAACAATCAAGCTGACTTGAGGCCTGCTTTGTACAATGTTTTGGTTGCTTATGCAAAACACAACCCAAGGATAGGCTATTGCCAAGTAAGTGTTAGCATGCTGTTTTGTGAGTAGGATTTTCCAGATTGAATATAATTACATGTATTCTGTGTAGGAAAGATCATCTTAAGCTGTTGAGTGCAGTTCAAGTTAGCAACTCATCCCTTTTGCAAATGGCGTGCAAATTATGTCTGATTTGGTAAGGCTAGCTATCATCAGTCCTCATCGCGCTATCGGATGCACAAGGCTAGCTATAGTAATCAATAAAATTAGCCAGTCGGAAAGCTTCATGGCCAGCCCAGTAGTATTGCAGCAGGTAAAGTTGCTTAAGTTTGCTTCCAATTGTTACATTGTGCAATAAATCACTTATTAACCAAGGGACTGTTCTGGGAGAATGTCAATCCCGAGTCTTCTCTGTATGAACATACTGCATGTTCTTTGCTGCGAAGACCTGGTCCAATGTTCTAGATATCCATGGAGCCTAAGCTTGTGCAAATGTGTGCTACAGTGTCTAAATAATTTAGTAAGCTCAATGTGCTAACTCAGTGGCTATTGACTTAGGCTTACACAAGTATGGTAATGATTCAATTTAGTGCCCGGGACGCTTAATTATTTATGGTACCTCAAGGGAGGGTGCTTATTTAAGAGGGGTGCTTGCTCAGGACAGAACAGTCTCTTCTTTTTGGAGAAACAACCAAATGTTCAAAACAACTATCTGAGAAAAGAAACGATAACAACATTACATATGTGAGCAATTAAGGGAGATGAACCTCCATTGATATGTACTCTGACGGTGTTATAATGTAATTAATAATATTATAATAGGGGCGCTTATTAGAATGGGGGCACTTAGTTGGAATAGGGCTGTTTATCAATAAAAACACATTCCAAAAGGGTGCTTATTTTGAAGGAGGGTGCTAAATCGAATCATATTGTAGTATGTGATTGGTTATGTTTTGTTATTTCAGGGTCTGAACTATATAGCTGGGTTGATGCTTCTCATTGTTAGAAAACAGGAAGTGGCTTTCTGGCTTTTGGATGTTATTGTTGGAAAGCTTTTGCCAGGTATTATTTTTATTAAGTGTAGTATTACGGGGGAAAAAGATATTAGTATTACAGGGAAAAAAGACTGTTTTTACATGTGATAGTACACTAAGGTGTCATCCAAAACACCCTGCCAACAACAGTGTAGGACAAATTAAAAGAGCAAAAACTTTATGAAGTGAAGGTTAAGCATTTGATTGTTGTATTAAAAGTGAAGTGAGTGGCTGCCTTTTGCAGATTATTATGCTAAGGACATGTTTGGACTCCAAGTTGAGCAAGAGGCTCTACGGGAAGTAGTCAGGTATGGTGTATGTTCTGGAATTTACATTCCAACTGATAAATATTTAGTTATACAGTAATTGTTTATTAGCAGTAAATTATCTTTGCAAAATGCATGTACAGTATGTAGTGTCAGGCAATCCTAATCTAGTTTGTATCGAGAATTTTTGGGAAGGATCATTTGTTTGCTCATTACAAAATACAAACACAATACAAACACAAAATTTGAAAACATTTGGTGATGCCCTGTCTTGCTGGGTCGTTGGTCAAAATGTAATTTTATCAAGAAGTGTCGCCAACAGTTTAAGTGCCTTTCCTGGAAAATATTGTGTCCAGTACAAGTTAATACTTAATTAACACTTTTACAGCAGGCTTCAACTTCACATGCAGATTGTTGTCTGTCACTTGATCAAACTTATTTTTCTATCAAGCCATTCGAACGCCACCAAAGTAGACCAAACATGCAAAGTACACACATGAACGCACTGCTCTAATCTTTGATTACTACTAGTTTAAGTTTACAAAAGTATTTGACATAATAGTTGTTATATTTTCCAAGTGGTGCTATCTTGATGATTATGTGGGGTTAGAACTTTATTATTTTATTAACACAGAGCCAAGATGCCAGATTTGTTTGAGCATATAGATAGACTTGGTGTATCTTACACCATCTTCTCTACGAAGTGGTTCATTTGCCTTTACATCGATGTACTTCCAGTTGAGGTAGGTATAACAGAAAATCATGTTCAAGCAATCATTAAAAGAATCTAAAGTAATTTATGATGCTTGTAACTGTGGCTACCAGGAGGATTTCCATGTGCTCCCCCACCCCTCCCTGATGGGCTTCTAGTGCAACTTGGGTTACTTCCTTAGGTGTTAAATTAGTTGGTCCTCATTCAATATATACTTGGGTAGAAACATTTAATATTCAAACAATTGAACAATATATCTATTTTCTGAAGAGCTTTTTATGCACTTTTTTGGGAACTGATGTTTACATGGATGTAATTTACTAGATATTTTAGGCTTACTAAAGCAACACCTTATTATAAACCATTTTCAGACAGTGCTTCGCATCTGGGACTGCCTGTTCTATGAAGGATCAAAAGTGATCCTCAGAGTAGCACTGACAATGATGAGTCTTAACAAGGAAAAGCTGCTAGCTTGTCATGACTTTGCTCAACTGTGTACAGCTATGAAGGTGAGAGGAAAAAAGGATTTGAAAAATGAATTTGTCTTTATATCCGCTTTCAGTGTTTCGTGCATGGCGACCATCTTTTGACATCCCAGCTCTTGACATGCTATGTAACGTGGCCCATGTCAAAAATGTAAGCACAGCTGACATCTTCACGGTCGAACTCAACTTTTAGTCATGAAAGATGGATTTATTTGTTGCCGGACAATTCCAAGTCTAATTAGACAGATCAGATCCGAAAACAACATTAAAATTCAAAAAATAAATTTAGAATGAGCCATTGTGGCGCACCTTCTCCAGGTACATGTAATAATTAGGCAGAATGTGGTCATTTAATGCTGTTGTTTGGCAAAGAACAGCAAAGAAATGTACCAAGTGAAGATTTATAACTCACACACATGTACTCAATCATTGTTGTGTTTGTTAAACCTTTTGTTTCATTAGAATTAGTGGCATTGCCTCTGCTGTTGCCATTGTCATTACATACATACATACATACTTTATTGACTTTCCCTTTAGAGGCTTTTCAAAGACAATACAATAATAAATTAAAACTACTTAAAAACTCTAAGATTCATTAAGATTAATTAACTAGAATTAGGAATCTATAAAATCCTTAATAGGTTTACGTTTAAGATAAAACTTAAAAGCAGATACTTTCTCGAGAGTTTTTAGAGAGCTATCCATGGAGTTCCAGATACTGACTGTTCTGTAGTAGAACG